TATAAGAAACTTCTTTTTATATGCTAACATTTGCAACTTTATCATTTAAGGAGGGAACTCTCACTTGAAGAGAATCCAAATGGCCCAGCACACCACATTTTGATGTTGGTGTCAAGTTTTTGAAACATGATTGATATATCAAACTTCTATCTTGGAAAAATTAAATAATACCCAAGACCTATTACCTTATGGGAGTATTATTTGGGATATTTTGAGTACTTTACTGATGAGATTTACACCAGACTACAGGATCACTTTCTTTTCAATGAATCAAATTCTGTGGCAAATGCCTGTGATATCACTAGGAAATATTCACAAAGTGTTTTAGAAAAATTCTAGCTCATTTATAAGGACAGATGGGGCTGCAACTTAAAAAGTAGTTTTCAGAATAAAAGAAATTTAAGAAGAATCAAACAACTCTCCATTTCAACATTAATATTATGTGAAGACAACTCAGACACTGGTACTTGCAAAATGCACACCCATCAGAGAGGGAGCCTTTGAGAGCAGAAACTTTGGCCTTGAGGCTGAGTGAGATATGGAGCATTAGGTAATCTGTTTTACATTACAACTTTCCCCAAGGATGAAAATGAATGCCTGCCAGATGAATGCAGTCTTTGTAATGCAGAAGTTCTGACTTAAAGGATATATATTTTGGCCATCAACCAGCATGCAAACTAATCAAATAGAACTGACATATATAAACCTGAGATACTGAGGAATATATTCCTATAATATTGAGTGATTTATAGGGGGAGGGAAGGAATTTTGACATTTGTTTCAACTAAAAGTTCAGTTCAAATAATGTTATTATTTAAAGGTTATTTAAAGGTAAAAGTCCAGTTAACTTGCTGTAGAGAATAGAAAGATGGGCACTCCCTGGTGGCACAATGGTTAACGCACAGCATTGCAAAGCTAGCTGCAGCTGCTTTAGTGTGAGTTCATTCCCTGGCCCCAGAGGTGACGCACATGGCACAGCAGACCTCTCCTGTCTCACCTGCTGCTCCCCTCAGCAGTTTACTTTGTCGTTCTGTCTGTCCTGCTCCCCACTCTGTCTCTGGTGAATTCTCTCACTGCCTTTGCATGTGTGGCCTGCACCCCAGTTCTGTATGCATAAATAAATCAATCTTTAAAAAAAGAGAATGGAGGCTCTCCCTAGCTGGCGCAGTGGGTTAAAGCACAGCACTGAGAATCTAAAGCCACTTCCGTATGAGTTCGATTCCCACCTGCCCCAGAGGAGACCACATGGTGTGGCAGACCTCTCCTGACCCGCCCGCTGCTCCTCTCAGCAGTGTACTTCATCCATCTGTCTGTTCTGCTCCCCACTCTGGCTCTGGTGAAGCCTCTCGCTGCCCCTGCACCTCTGGCCTGTACCCCAGTTCTGTGTGCATAAATAAATAAATCTTTAAAAAAAAAAGTGAATGGAAAGATGAACAGGGGATAAGTCCTCAATAAAGTTTACTGAAATCATAAAGGCTTAACTTAATAAAGGCTATGGGAATAATATGCTATGGTATAACATTATAAACACACACACATATACATTGGAATACCACTCAGCACACAACAGATGAAGTCAGGCCTATTTGCAGCAACATTGATGGAGCTGGAAGGAATAATGCTCTGTGAAATAAACCAGAAGAAGAAAGGCAATATTCGATTATTTTACTTACATATGGAATATAGAATAAAATAAAGGGTCAGACAAAGACAAAACTTGAAAGCTGACCAGAGATGGGAGGCATCCAGGAGAAGAGGGGGGAGAGGGTGGATTGGGGACGGGTAAAGACAGAGGTGGAAGGAAGAGCACAAGGGAATTTGGTGATGACTATGGGTGGTGGGAGGAGGGTGGTGACCACACTGGAGGGGAGAAATCATAGATTGTCTAAAAATTAACAATGATGTAAGAAAAAAGTACATTTAAAATGAAAAAAAAAAAAAGAGTAAAAAAAAAATAAAAAAGGGCTTGGGAGAGAAGCCTGCTAATAGGAGACTTGGAGGAGGCACTTGGAGCGGAGAGACATGTGAAGAAGTTACAGTTGTTTCTTGGCCTTGAGCTTGCACCAGGGACTTGGGGGACATGGAAGGAGACTCTGGAAGAGACGGAGGTGAGAGACCTGTGGGAGGCTGTCAATGGCAGCCTTTATTTACTTACTTTATTTTATTTATTTATTTTTAAGATTCATTTGCTTATTTATTTATGTAGACATGCAGAACTGGGGTGCAGGCCAGAGGTGCAGGGGTGGTGAGAGGATTCACCAGAGACAGAGTGGGGAGCAGAACAGGCAGACTGAGAAAGTACACTGCTGAGGGGAGCAGCAAGCAGGTCAGGAGAGGTCTGCTGCGTCATGCGGATCACCTCCCGGGCTGAGGATCGAACTCACACACAAGTGGCTGTGGTCAGCTTGCGGTGCTGTGTCCTAGCCCGTTGCGCCGGCAGACTTTATTTTGACTTGTATTTTGATTTCGCTCCTTTCCTTCCAGACTTGCCTGGCCCCTTCTGCCCCATTCCTGTGGGATTTCACGGGAAGGGATCTTAGACTTTTGGCAGGCTTGCAGGCCTCAGTGGCCTTGCTTTGAGTGAACCCTGTTTGGCTGGGTATTTCCCCACAGAACATGGGTACATCTGAATTTTTTTTTTAAACATCACTACCTTTCTTTTCTTCTTTCTACTACACACAAATTCTATTAAAGCTCTTTTTAACTGAAAAGAAAAATCAGAAAGCAAAATGTATTTAAGAGAATTACTGACACATATTAATTCTACTTTCAAAATTACCAAATGATCTAGAAAAGTAATGCAAATAAGCTCAACATAATTCAGAAACATAGAAAAAAGATAAATAAAATGCAAGTTGAAATAAAGGGCTCAGGATGGTGACAGGTACATAATAAGCATTCAGTACATACTCCTTGCAGTCATTTTTTCCTCTACTCCTTATAGGGGTCCAAAAAGTCACATTCAAATACTATATTTGAACATTAATGTAATCACATAATATGTTATAGTTAGTATATCAGAAATGTACTTATTTTCTTTTCACAGCCACATTACAGAATGAGGTTCTGAAAATGTTTTAAAATTGAGAAATTTGTAAAGAAACATACCTCAAAAACATGCTAAAAGGGACTAAACTAAAAGTGTTAGTAGGATTTGCAAGATTCCTGAGGTGCTTTTTGTTTCTTTTGTTTGTTCTCAATATTTTTCTGTATGACATGTTATTTAGAGAAATAGCAATGAGTACTATAAGTCCGTTGATATAATCCCAAATTGCAACTTTCTACAACTTATTAACTCACCCTTTTTAAAAAAATAATATAATAGTTTATTTTTACATCATTTTGTGCCTTTTTCCATCTCATTTGCAATCTCCTTGGGCTTCCCATCACCAAATCACCCATGTGCCATCACCATAGTCCAGATATTTCCCTCCCCCTACTGTTTTTGATCCTATTCCCCACTCCATCCCCATAAAATGTCTCTGGTATATAGCTGTTCATTATTATTATTATTTTCTTGCCTGTTCCATTATGCTACTGCTATGAGTGAAACTATCTGGTATTTTCCCTTTTCTTTCTGGCTTATTTCTCTAAGCATGATCTTCTCCAGTTCTATCCATGTTGCTGCAAAAGGCATGTGTTTATTTATTTATTTATTTTTTTGGTTGTTGAGTAATATTCCATTGTTTAACTCACCCTTTAGTGATGACTTTAAAGGAGAAAAAAAAACAAAAAACAACTTGAACCTCTATTATCCTTGAACTGTATTTGTGTTGGAAGTTAAGGAAATATATCTGTCTTTACACAAGATCTGAATAAATGTCTATTGCTCAAAGTATCAAGGAATTTTCAACTTCCTACTTATTTGATTTGCAAGTCGTTCCATGAAAATAACTCATTAAGCTATTACAAAGTTGGGAATATTTTATAATGAAGTCTTTACTTTTGAAACATAAGTGACCTTTAAAACTACCAATTTAAAAGGATTATACTAAAAAAGTCTTTGCTGCTAAAATAGTGTCTCCTGTGCCTCTTATGTCCTAGATAGAATTTTCTTTTGAGAAAACCACAGCTACTTATTTTCAGTGGCCTGGTTCAAACAAACTTACATTATTACAAGACAAGATAAAGGGCACCTGGTGTTTGGACTGTGAGGTGACTTTTCACAGTTTTACCTGGTAAGGGCAAATGATCTATTTCTTGAGTTTCAAAAATGAAGTCAGGTTTAATGATTCATCTGTTAGACCACATAGAATCTATGTGTTTCAATACCTCTAAAGCTACTTAAAGCTGACAATATCCAAATATCCTCTAAATTTTACTCACATTATAATATTTACTGAAAATCCTTTCTGATCATTTTTAGGATAGAAGCAAAAATGAAGCTGACTAGAACTTTTACATTTCTATACCGTGAGTGTTACATTCTTCCTAAATAACATGTTGATGTTGACGTGTCAAGAGAAGGCTTTGAAAAGCCACCAGAGTGCGAAAGGATCAGCAATCTCAAAGACCCTGTGTCTCCCACCTCTCAGAGGACAGCAAACACCTTATGGATCACACTACATATTAGAGTTTATGTGTTGCAAGAATCCCATAAAAGCATATGGAAAATACTGCACTTTACTGGAAAAACAAAGGAAGACACTAAATGACTTGACAATCACTTTTTTTTTTAAAAGGGCCTAAACAACCCTAAGCAACATGAAAGCATACAGAAACTTTTGCCTGAATTAGAAAGATGTGTACTATTAAATGTGATTATAGACAAATAAATACATTGGTGGTATTTCACAAGATGATAGAAGAGAACGATATGAAAAATTTAATCAATCAGTAGGTTTTTTGTAACTGGATGCTAAATTCTATGAAAGTGCTCTTCCTATGTGCTACTGTCTTCTGCTGAGGTGTCATGTTACATAAGAGAAACCAGCGATTATACTTAAAGGATCTGGAAATTACCACTTAATGTCATGTTTAAGATTAGAACATTCTCTCACCTCTTTCTTTACTTCTTCTTCGTCTTCCAGTGTCAAAGCAGCCAGTTGCTTAGCTCTTTGCTCCATCAGATTCACATAACGGATTGGATTTGACAAAGCTTCAATCACATCTAGACAAAGAAGAGACATTTTAGATGAAAGGATCTGTAGAAATTGATTATCATCTATCCATCCATTTATCCAACCAGCCAATCATCCATCTACCAGTCCATCTATTTCTTCATTACCTACCTACTCACCTACTCATAGCCAATTCATTATTCATCTTCCTTTTTTTTATTTCCATTTGCCGTATAATTATCCACTCATCCACCCAAAATTTGGAAATGGACAAGAGTCAGGACTCTGCTGAAATCTCAGAAAGAAAGCACTGAAAGTTGATTATCGCTAAGAGTCAAACTGGACAGGTTCCAAATCAGGATGCTACAATACTTCACATTTGTTAATTTCTTTTGGAGAGTTCCATTTATTCCAGCAATGGCTCACACCCTTGTCCTATGTGACCCAAGTGGGTTTTATAAGTGGACATTTCATATAAAAAGGAACAATCCAAAAATTTGGCAGTATGGATATTATTAGCACATGGCATCATTTGCTGGAGTGGGTTATAGTTGCTATTTTTGGATGGGCCATGTGTTCCAAGTTTGCCAGAGATTCCATCACTCCCCAGTAGCTCTAGTTTCTGGTACCAGACCACTTAGTATCATAAGCATTAAATTTGATTCCTGGTTGACATTGCCATAAATTAATTCTTCCAAACTTAGGATTCCAGCCATCAGGGTTTTAACACCGACTGAAGAAAAATCCATTGTACAGAAAAAAAGCTACAGCACCAGGTAGTGTGGATTAAGTAGTGTGTCCACAAAATTATTACTCTCAGTTAATAAATATGCTCAAAACTTTCTCGGGTCTTAAAAATATATTCACAAAGGCATGAGCAATTTACCTATAAACATGCATAGAAAAATGATGGTAATTCTGAGGCCAGAATTGTATTCCTTTGTTGGGTTCAGTTTTCCTTCCATGAAGCCACAGAAACTGGTGACCATGGCTGAAATATCCCTGCGAGTTAGGTTGTTTACCTGCATAGGTGTCTGGAACATAGTCTTTCACCTCTATGTAGACAAAGACAGCTGGCAGCATCAGGGGCTGGTTCCTTTCATTCCGCAGAGAAATGTAGTGATAACCTGGAGGGTGGCAATGATCCTTATCACATATTTTCTTCACAACATTAATTAGCACACAGGAACAGCTATGTGACGGAAGTGTTTGTATTTTGTGACTTTAGGTCACAAGTCAACTGTTTCTCATTTTAATCACATGGTTTTGTGTGGTAAGTTAGTTTTCTCACCAAATAGGAAAACAGTGTTGATTTTGAGTTTTTTCCTTTCCAGCCAAGGTTTTCCACACAAAAGTGAATTCAAACTGCCTGTCATAGATTGGACGATTGATCCAGAGTCATCTCCTGTCTATGATTTCTAGACTTGGAGCTTAGGTAATCGCTCTTCTTTGTTGAATGGGATGTTCGTGAGGTCGTGCAAACAAACTTAAAATGCACTTGCAGAGTTCATCATGCCCTTCTCCATTCCAGTGGGCAACAGTGAGAAGCACAAACTGTGGGCCCCAAAGCCCCTTCAGTCTGAGCCTATGAATATACACAGAGCCTGAGGCCGGGCTCCATGGCAGAGCCCAGCAGAACTCAACCAATCCTCAGACTTGCAAGCATGCAGCATCACACGTGTTAAAGAGATAGCATGTTCTGAACAAACTCCACAAACAATTTCTCTGGACCCCACCTCCACCCCAAACCAAAGAGATCCAAGACACGAAGGACTACAAACCCCATGTCATCATCACTGAAGGGAGGACTGCTGGGAACTGAGGGTGTTAAGCTGCCAGGTATGGCATATAACCAGACAGGTAGGCCTTGGGGGCCCTTGGCTTTTCACTGGCTTTTTAGCATTTTATTGGACTTTAGCTCAGTGGAAATGGTAGGGCACATTTACCAATTTATCTTTTTCTTTTTCTCCGAGTTATCCCTTTTTCATTTTCCCTTTTTTGAAAAATAGACCCTCTATTAGCCCTTTTGTGTGTGTCTGCAGTTGAGTCTCATTATTTATAGTAAGAGTACAGGTGAGGACCCACACTCAGGACAACCCACTTCATATTGGGGTTGCCCAGTAACATTAAACCACTGAGTTTTCAGATAGTTTGTGATACACGATTACCTTGGTAAGAGTTGAGTAATCCCACAAAAAATGTAAAACTTCCAGATTTGAATAGAGGTATGACTACTGTTGTATAACAAATTACAAAGCAGCATAGAGTTTCCTAAATAATTCATTAATAATCACATAGGGCAGTGCCAGTTTTCTTTACAGCTTTGATAAAAACATTTCTCAACATACTGTCTATCCATACCTGGCCGAATTGCTTGTACTGGCAAGATCCGATGACCGATAAATTTACCTCCTTCTTCATAAACTGCTACCCTCAAACAAGCCAGAGAAGGAAGAACCACCTACAGGAACATTAAGGATACACAGGGTCATGAGAATGAGTAACTCCAAGGAAAAAATGTAAAGGTATGCTCAAATAGACCCTACTCCTCCAAATCTAGTAGAAGTTTTTATTTAGCTAATTAAAACAATGGTAAATTGTGGCTCTATAGCTATAATTTAACATTCAACAGGATTGAGATCTACCATTATGTTTTGTCACCTTGTTCTAATGGGGAAATTGTTCAATACATAGACCATTTACTTTTGACATGGACATTTTCAATGTAGAAATGACATAAGTTTTGTGTTTGAATATTACACTATTTATCACAATCTGAGAATTTACACATATATGTTCAAAGCAAATTAATCTGAATCTTTCAACATGAAAAATAGCTTTCAGGATTGCTTTCTAATGTGATTGTTTTATAAATTTGTGAATACTTAAATGAACAACAAGTAGTTTTTCCCCCTTGTAAAGTAAAACATGCAGACCACATAGTTAAGTCAACAACAAGAGACAGACTGTATCCTTCAAAATTAACAACACTAGCAAAAATAGAAAATTAATATTATTTACTATTTTTAAAATGTCAGACATTTTCTAGATGCTTTCAATGTATTGGCGAATACTTGTATAGCTCTATGAAATAGATACTATTATTAATCCAACTAACATAAGACAAGACTGGAGCATGAGCATGGAGACAGTTAACACAGATATTCTCTTTGCAGAAAACTGGCCCTGAATAAATTCTGGCCAGATAAAGGAAAGGGTGTGGTATGCAAGTCTACTTTGCATTACTGGTCTTAGTTTCTTCCTTTTGGTAAATCCCATAAAGGTTTGTTTCACTGGAGGTAGAAAGAAGGCAGATTTACATCCCAGTAGAATATAAAAGGCTTTAACTCTGTAAGACAGTCTAGATGACAGCAAATGACCAATGGCCTTTAGTTGTTCTTATAAATGCTCTTTTAAAATGATGTGGGACTTCCCTGTTAGTGCAACGGGTTAAAGCACAGGACTGTGAAGCTCCCTGCAGCTGCTTCAGTGTGAGTTTGATGCCTTGCCAGGGAGGTGACCCACATGGTGTGTCAGACCTCTCCTGACTCACACGCTGCTCTCCTCACCAATGTACTTCGTCGATCTCCTGTTCTGCTCTCTTCTCTGTCTCTAGTGAATCCTCTCACATTGCACCTCTGGCCTGTACTCCATTTTTGTTTATATAAATAAAATAAATCTTAAAAATAAAAGGACGTGTGGACTTCCTTCAACAACCAGATTATGCCCTACTTTCTACTCTACTTCATTTGAGTTACAATGAAAAGGTATAGTTTATCATATGTATTATGAAAGGAGATGATTTAAATGTATGCCGTTCTGGTTTTCCAAATGAGATATATTAAAATTTTGATTTACAATACAACTTTGAAAAGCCAAATAAGTGATGCACAGTGTTCTGGAACAGTTTTTAAGATAGCTTTGAAAATAGTATTACTTTATGAATATGTAAATTCCCAAGTTAAGTAACAAATAATTCTTTGAGTTTTATTTTTTTTATCCACAGTATAAAACACATGAAACAAGCAGTTATATCTTATGTCCAGAAAAGGAGACCAACCTTTTTGAATACAATGGGTTCTTCTTCCCAGACAGGATTTACAGCATTTCCCTGTGATGTCTTGGTCTTAAATGCCTTTCTCCTTGTGTCTACTGGCAAACCAAACATATCCACTTCCACATAAGTCCCGACTTTCTTATCAGAAAGAAACTGACCTGAAATTATCTAGAAAGTAATTAAAAAGGGAACTTGATAAGTAAATAATAATGATATATGAGAATTCTTTGAAGAGGTTTCTAGTGAATGTTGACTTACAATCAATGTAAAATATAAGAATACAAATGCGATTTCTCTTTTGGTTAAAGAATTGATAAAGAGATATTAAAAATTCTGAGTTAAAGGGAGTTAAGTAACAAGCTAAAGGCTTTAGGGGAAAATAAATGAACAAATATAGAGAGTTTAATGAAATTCTGCACTTTTAACTTATGCTACATCTATTAAATGTTAAAGACTGATCTTTTGAACCCACTGAGTATAAGGCTTTTTCTAGTAGTTAAAATGCTACAAGAAAGTCTCATTTTAACATTATTAAAGATGAAACAAAAAGGTCATTAAAGAGAAAAAATTTAAGGCACTATGGTAGAAACTCCAGCATTTAAAAACTTCTTCATGTTCAGAAGATTCAAGTAGGATGAAACACTATGCTATTCCAGTTCTCAGGGTTGTTAGAGTTTAAAATAAAAAGGCACAATGATGATATAACCAACCAAACACCAAATTAGACAAATACCAAATCATCAAGCCAGGATATCATCACCCATAATTTTATCTGTTAATTTTCCACCCATTGTGTAGCTATAAAAATAATAATTTTGAAGATTTTAAAATGACACAGTCATAAAAAGTTTCTCAGTTATCCCATTTTTTCTAATCCTATTTTTAAAATCTAAGAGCTCCTCAGGTGCCATAAAAGCTGCAAACAAAAGAGGCAAACAAGATGACTGGAGAGAAAAGTAGAAGAAAGAAAGACTGAAGAAGCCAATCTGGTGAATTTGGGTTGTTGGATTGATAAAGCTGCCTGCTGACCAAGAGTTTTCCCAGCTCGAGTCCATGAAAGGGACAGAAACACCAAGATTATGGCTGGCTCAGAAACTGGACATACAGGCAGCTTAAGAAGGATCTTCAATGGCCAAAGCCAGTGCATGGTCAGAGATCCTGAACAAGTGAGTGTGAAAGTTTCAAGGACGAGACTGCTCTGAACTTATTCTGGGAACACTCATTTCTCATGAATACGTTCTTTAGCCTGAGTGTTTAACACCTGTAAGCAACAATCTATTTAACTCAAAATTCTACAGGAGAATGTCTTAGCAGACATTTTATATGCTTGAAACTTCCAAGTTATGTGAGTCACACTGGTAATTCAACCCCACCAGAGATTTGGTGTGCTTAAGATACTTCAACGAAACAGAAAGCCTTAACTAAATTAATGACACTGAACCTCAGCATCATCATCAGCAAAATAGGAGGGTGGAACACCTTTTGAACTCACTGGCAGTTTAAAGTCTGTGTCAGAGGATCTAAACAAAGGCACTACTAGACAGATGGGAGCTAAGTCTTGGTTCTAGATAGAGTCACATGCTATGGTAACCTGAGAACTTTTAATCTATATTTAACAATTTATTGAGAGAACACTTTTATCTCTAATTTTGCTCAATATAAGTATTTTTCCTGTAACTGATTGGGGAGGAAAGACCCAAGAATTTCTCCATTATGGTCAGTCATTTACATGGTTACATTTCAGTGTGGGATATTTACACCAACAGAAAGGATTGGCCATTGAGAATCTCACCAACTTGTTTTGACTTATTCTCCTTTTAAAGATTTTTAAAGATTATTCTTTAAAAGAATTATTCTCCTTTTAAAGATTAGTTATATGATCTCATCGATGTAGCTTCTGAAAATTTTTAATGTGAATTATGTCCTTAAAGAACAAGGTGCCTGCAGGAAGTAGAGACTTTGGAATAAGTATATTTTTAATGACTACTTCTTTACACAGAATTGATGTCTAAAGATTATTTGGGGAATAACTGTGCAACAGAAGTATACATACCTTAACAGATAAGGTGTTGGCCACAATCCCATCTACAATGCCTTCGGTAAATGGATCAAAATGTTTGTCAGGTCTCCTCATGAACTCTGGCTTTAATCTGTAGCCACTCTTCCCATTGTATTCATACATCCCCATATTTATTTGCATAGCCAGGTCTGAATATCAAAAACACAAGGTTAATTGCAATTGTTTTTATATGTGTAGCAAGAAAGTAAATTGCATCACATCATAGTCCATTTTATGACTGTTCCTCTTTTAAAAAGAAATATTTATTTACTATGGGAACTTATAAAGCACAAATAAGATAAAGAAATCCAAATCCAGAGATAAATTGTTACAAACATGTTGGGTATATTCTGTTTTCTATTTCAAATATATTTTGAACATTTAGCTTATCCACTCCACTAAATATTTGTCTGTTTTAATTTTAAAAGTTGTATATGATTCCTTTGAAGGGATATATCTGAATAAATATATTACACCACTCCTTTGGTATATTTCAGAGTCTTCTAAGTCTTCATTTTTACATGTCATATTTTGATGAACATTATTGTGATGAAATCCTTGAAGTTATAAATAAAATAAAATAAATAAAATTTCTAGGTCAAAAGATATACACATTGGAAAAGTTTTTTGATATTTGCTAAAATGCCCTTCAGAAAGCTTAAATTGTATTCCCCTAACCCATATTTTTGAGGATGGACTTCACTAAAACTCTGCAGTGGATTCTATAACAAATGAATACATTTGAAAGTGTACACTCCTTAGCTTATCTACCACCACATCTGATTATACACTGATTCATACCTAAAGGACAAACGTTAGTGTCAAGGTTTTCCTATGACATAATCTACAGAAAATTAATATCCACACTCATTTATTTAAAGCAATAAGGAATCTGTGCAATTGTCATTTGTTCCACATTATTACCTCTCATTCATGTTGATAAAAAAGAGGTAATCATAACAACTATTTCAAATTTTCATGTACCTAATCTTTTTAGATCAGGAGAAATAAGTGAAAATTTATTTCACATTTTATTAAGCTGATCTAACCAAAATTGCACAAAATGCCAACAAAAGAAAGTGGTAAATTTGAAATACTTTAAAAAATGCTTGATAAGTGTATTTCAAATAAATTTTAAATACTTGAAAAAAATGAACTCAAGAAACCACTTTAACAAGGCATATGTTCTAAAATAATAACACACAAGAGTGTAGAATTTATACAAGAAACTAAAGGATTAGTACATATTATGAGCTCTAATAATAGCACATCATAATTTCCTACAAGAGAAGAGATGAATATGTGATCATCCCAATAGATGTCAAAAAGACATTGAAGAACATGCACTGCAAATCCCTATAATATGTGAGTTAATGAGGACATGTGTATGAAAGAATATCTGTCTCAAAGTTACAGCCAACATCTATTCAATGCTATCAGAAAATGAAAGAACTATTGTGTCAAGATGAAGAGAAAGACATGAACTCTAATGCTATTATCTGATATTATTCTAGAACCAAAACTCTAAAGCACTAATACATGGGGGAAGCTGAATATGAATAAATTACTATGATTGTATAGCTAAAAAACTCAATAGAAACTACTGGCAAAACAAACCATTATAAGAACTTAGGAAGATAATCATTTTAAAATACACTTATAAAATAAATGTATAGTCTGTTAAAACATAATTAAAAAAGAAGTCATCTAAAGAATCTCTAACAAAGATGAATCATTTTGCTGAGGTACAAGAAAAAAACTTTTATGGTAAAAAAGAATGACATTCTTTCTGTGATAAAACTAAAATTGAAAGGTGATAGCTTTATTTAGATGAATTTATAACTTTAACGTGATTTTAATAAAAATCTATTTTTCCTCAGAGAGAGGGGAAGGAAACAAAGTAACAAACCAAATTCATGGCACAGGAATCCCATTGCAATGGCAAGAAAAGGAGTGAAGATAGCAATAAAGGAAAATTTTCACTTCTAGGTATCAGTATTACTAAGCATTATAATAAAAAGAGTAAATTATTAGTTCCAAGGAGACAGACAAATTTATAAATGGAAAAGAATATAAGTTAAAAAATAGGCTTAAATTAACTAAAATAAAAGTCTCACCAATTGCGTTGTAATTCCAGTTCTTCATAAAAAGGAACTGATCTCTTACTGAGATTATATAACAAATTTAAATTTGGATGTATGAAAGATTATCAAAAAAAATGAGAGAAATTGGAGTATGACTCTGACTATGGTGGAAAATTGTAATCACAAAAATAAAACATACATTTATAAAATGTTAATCAATTTGTCCATAAAACCAATTTTTCTTGATTTCACAATATAAGACAACATGGTCTTTATATAAAAAGCATTATTATAAGTGGAGAAACCCAGAAAGATAGCAGCAGAGCAAAGACAATGGATTCGCCTCCTTCATAGTCTCATAACTAAATCATAGCAGAATAAAGTTAGTACACCTTGAAAGAAAGGCAGGCAAATGCTGGTAGACATTGCCAAATGCTACCAGACAATAGTTTGGTAGACAGGGGGAGAAAAATATCCAGCTGAATCATGTTTGTAGTGATGATACCTGAGCAGTACATGTGAGGGAAGGGTGGCTGCAGCCAGAGCCCTCTTACAGCTTTGACTCAGGGGCTTTGGAGCTAAGGGGGTTCAGAGAGTTGGGACCCAGGACAAAGGGTACACTGTTGGAGAACTCAGGGTGAAGGGTACAGAGTAATGGTTATTGGCTTGAGCCTCAAGCTTCCAATGTAGAACAGCTGAAGAGCAGAGCCAGGTGTGATCACCTGCATCTCCTCATAGAAGTGGCTGTTATATGCAGCGTGAAGATGAGATGGTTGAAATACCTGCCAGGAACCCTACTCCCAGGGCCAACACTGAGACAAGTGTTTCACTACCTAGAGTTTTTCAGGAGCTAGTACCCCAGGGTAAGCAGAGAACAAATCCCTGTGTGTAGTCCTGTTACAACTGCAGTCCACAGTGATGCATCCAATACTCAAAGAACCTAGAGGGTGAGGTTAGCATGGATTCTAAGAGGCATTTGAGCCAGTGAGTTGGCTTAGAGGAGGGGTCCTGGTAGGGAGGGAAGCTTGAGTCCCTGATGCTCCCTGAAATTTGTCCCTGTAAAAACTAAAAATGAAGAGACAGAAGAACGTCACAAAAGCTGAAGCCAAACAAACAACAAAAGTCTCAGAGCAGGAGAACTACAGAATATGCCTAAAGAGGAATTGTTATAACTGATGCTTGCAGAATTTAAAACAAAGCAAAACTAATCCGCAATGGGATGATGTAAATTAGGAGCAGGATAAGGAGTGAGAAAATATGTTATAATTAGGATTAATGGATTTAAAAATTACTATCAGTGAATTAAAAATATAATAGAGGGGCGTAACAGAAGACAAACACAGTAATGCAGAGCATTAATGATCTACAAAGCCCGTTGTTAGAGAACACACAAACAGAACAACAGAGACAAATGAATTAAAAAATAAAAATTGTGTTTGAAATAGTGTTAGATTCTGAGAAAAGCTGGAGAAATAACATCCATGTTATGAGGAGAAGAGAAAGACAAGGTCATAGAAAACGTAAAAAAATAACTGCTGAGGCCCTCCCTTGTGGCACAGCGGGTTAAAGCACAGCATTAAGAAGCTTAAACCACTTCTGCATGAGTTCGATTCCCGCCTGCCCGGGAAGAGACCACATGGTGCGGCAGACCTCTCCTGACCCGCCCGCTGCTCCCTCAGCAGTGTACTTCGTCAGTCTGCCTGTTCTGCTCCCCACTCTGTCTCTGGTGAATCCTCTCACCCTTCGCATCTCTGGCCTATACCCCAGTTCTATATGAATAAATAAATAAATCTTAAAAAAAAAAAATAACTGCCGAGAAACATTTCAACCTAGGAAATGAACCCAACATCCTGACCTAAGAGCTTCAAACACAATGATACCAGACAGACTCCAAGACACACTAGAGTAAAACTACTGAAAGCCAATGACAAGCATAGACTGCAAAAAACAGGGAGAAGAAAACAGGGACACCAACAAAAGGCCAGATTTGTCAATAGAACCTTAAGGCAAGAAGGGAATGCAGGGGGTACTGAGATTTTCCAGTTTAGAGTCCTTCATTCCTGTATGATGATTTTCAAGACGGAAGGAAGGGTAAGGAGTTTCACTGAAAAGTCAAATCTAAAAGAATTTGCCTACACCAGAAATGAATAGGAAAGTTGACAAGAGCCTTGATCAGGCAATTCCTAAAAGCAGAAATACACAAAGGAAAATTCACGCTTAAAGTGTTCACCCTCAGCATTAGTCAACAAGACGAAATTGAAATGATGTTTTTATTATCATTATTACTTAATACTTAACCAAGACCTCAAGTAAGAAGGTTCAATTTGTATTATGCATTACTGATGAAGGAGAAACCCAGTGCAACATTTTTGATGAACAATTTGGCATGATGCTCAGAGGTTCTTAAAACTTTCACTTCCTTTAAAGAGCAATTCTGTTTTAGGAGCTTTTCCAAAAGAACATTAGGAGATAGACTTGATAAATGATATTCCAGACAATCTTTAGAACATTATTTATAATAAAAAAATTCTAATGTCTAATGATAGAAATAGACTTAAGTGATTTTTTAAACATGCTTAGTGCATAGATATTACATTACATGTTTGTGAATAGCACTGGAGATTATATATCTACACACTTATATGAATATGTCCATATGTAAAAAAAAAATGATGTGAAAGGCACTCACATACACAGCCAAAAATTAGTGCCAAGCTAAAAGCTGACAGAGTTTATATCTTTAAATCATAGCATTCTTGGTACTTTTATTTCCTTTATATAGTTATTTGAATTTTTCAAATTTTCTACCTATTATAATAATAAGTACCTATTATTTTAAAGAATGTAAGTTTTTTTGATTAAAAATAGACCTTTAGGTAGAAAGCAGAAACATTACTGATGTACATTTGATAAAAAAATTGATTAAATTACTGATGACAACTTCTCAATTTTCAAAGTTCACCAACTTTGCATTGATACTTCCTTCACTGATATTTGCTTTTGTTTGTTTTTCCAAACAAGTCTGGACATTTTTTTCCCCAGTCACTTGGGAATGGTTTTCAGATCCCCAGAAATGTGACTTTATAGAGAATGGAAAGTAGTAATCATGTTACTTACCTACTGTTTGGAAATTAAGTGCAACCATTTGGCAACCTGCATTCCAGAAGAGCTGAGGCATGTAGTTGGATGAATCCACTCGTGTTCCTTTTGGATATATCCTACTAAGCTGCATTTTGTTATATCTGGACCATCATGTTAAGTAGTGAATACAATTAGCAATACAATTATCAAAATAATTAGTTCATAATATTAACTGAGATGTCACCTCCAATCTTTCTGTTTTGGGAAAATGAAATATATATTCAAGATCTCAGTGGGTGAAATATGTAAAAAAATCTGAACAAATAAAATAAATGTGTTTTTATAATGTAAATGTAGCATAACCTTGGTAGACCCTGGTGGGGGAAAACTTTATGAGTTAGCAAAAATGGGTGATTCAAAGTCAGTGGGATTTCGTGGAGATTATTAAGGACAGGCTTAATGTCTAAGGACACACACAGCTCAAGCATGTCAAATTGTGTGAGGGGATAATATTGTTTTTGGCAGAAGCAGATAATATGAACGATATGGCTATTTTTGAAACGCTCTCTGTTCATTCTCTTAACTTTCTCTGGGAATGCTATTTGCCAAGACAATGGTATTCATTATGACTGATAACAAGGTAAATATAGCACAGAGGGCTCTGACCTGTTTTGTATTTTGGTTCTTACTGTCATTAGTTTTCCATCAGGAGATTTCACTTTTCTGACCTCAGTTTCCTCATCCATAAAATAGACTTAATTCCTTTGTTAAAAGGCTGTTGTGAGGATTAAATGACAAGCCAAAAAAAAAAAAAAAAAGGCCTATTATAGTATTTAATGCATACTAGTGGTAATGATTTTTATAATATAACTACTATGGCCTTTATATTTGCTCATCCTATTTTTGATGAGTTTTAAAACCGACTTTATTCTAAGATTTGCTTTGTGAAATCAAACTCTTTGGGACATTTACTATTAATTTTAGAAAAACATTTCTCTTTTCATTTTCTTTTGATCATTGCATAATAAAAAGGTTCTGTTGTCAGCAGTATCGACATAACCATTATTACTAACATATTAATATTTCCACTCCAACTATCTTTTGACTGGACTTCTATTTTCAAGAAGTTATATATAGACACACTAGGTATAGCTTACACGCACATACATATTTTTATATGTTCCCTAAACCAATAGCAAGCCAAAACCTGCAGTCATTATTTCTCTCTTATAGAGAACATATAGAAGGGCTGAGCCAATTGTTAAAATGACAAATTGCTTAAATATGTGAAAGTAACCTTGACATCTGGGCTTCCTTTACCCCAAGGCCAATTTTCTTCTCCAAATGCTAGGTGACCCAACTCAGTTTCACCTGTGAAACCCAAAACTATCATGCCCAGATTTATAGACTTAAGCAAACAGCACAGGACTTTAATTGCGTTAATTCAACAGTCACTCGTCAAATCAAGGATACTCTACAAATTCCACTGGTGTCTTCGTTAGTTGCTCAAGTCCTTTGGTTTCCACAAAGGAAGACATTTCAAAACTTCTATTTCTTTCTGAGTAAAAATAGTAAGGAGTAAAATTAAAGTTCAGTATTAGAACAGATGACAAATAAGCAAGCATTCAATAAAGCTAAAGTTAATACTCAATGTAGTTTTATATCTTGGGGGTCGGGGGGAAGCTATTAATCTGCAACAAAAGTTGAGTCTCTTGACTCCACTCAAATATTCTTCTATTTCCTAGTTGGTTCAGATATGCTTATGGTTGCAACAGGTTAGGGATGTGGTAGATTTAATATGAAAAAATGAATTTTATAGTGGATAATAGAACAATGAAAGCTGTTTTATAAAAAAAAGCAGTGACTTTCTAAAATCTTTTGATCTAAATCCATTTGGGTTGATTTTGTTCTAAATCCATTTGGGTGTGTTTATGCCAATGACGACTATCTCTTTTCTATCCATATTATCATGGTCTCAGCATACATATATCCTTTGGTTCAAACAATTCATGTGATATCAAGGTAATAGTTTTGCAAAGCAAATGTTTCTTGGAAAATTTCCAACCTGATCTCCTCATTTTCAGATAAGATATGAGAGACAGAGATAGGAAGGTGCTAAAGGTCTCACTATTCCTGAACACAGGAACAACAATCTGAAAGTGAAACCCAAGTGGAACTCTTTAGCTGGAGCTAAAGAGAAATGAAACAGTGCTCTCATTTTGGAGACACTTAGAGTCAAACAACTTCATCTTCTCCCCAACTGAAAAGCTGCTATATATACACATTTTAAAAAGTGTTGTTACATAGCTCTTAGTTTTTTTAAGCTGATTTTCCTTGGAGGCATTTCCCCTCTCTGATGCCTACTTTTTATAATTAAACCTCATTTTCTCCCTAGTCATCCCCAGAACTTTTCTTTCTGCTTCGCCTCACCCATACTCAACTCTACAGTAAACCTTTTCTTGGTTCATCAAAAATCTATTTTGATATGACTAATTATTGTAAGTACAGCGCTAATTAAAAGTGAGTCAAAAGTAGGTAGAACAGTAAAATATGTGCAGCATTCAATTTAAAAAATGTGATAAAGTGATACAAAGCCTAGGAAGAAAAGTACTGGTTGTAAAACTTTTACATTGGTGCTGCTGTCACCAGCTTCCATAAGACTTAAATGCATCTGCTCTTTCTCATCTTGGTTAGAAGAGCAAGAGCAAGGTTTTTTTTGTTTGTTTGTTTGTTTGCTTTTTTTTTTTTTATGATTCATGAATTAGGAAAATTCATTTTACAGCTAATGAAATTTTCAGTAATATAAAACTAACTACTTTAGTATATTTCAAATTGGATATTTTATAAGAAGCATTAGTAATTAAAATAGATAATATAAATATTGAGATCTTTATAAACTATATATGAAATTAAAGTCTGTTGTAGAGATTGAGATAGCTTATGGTGCTAAGTTAAGGCTCATTGGGCAAAATTACATAAAAGTATGTTACATAGGGTACAGATTTTGACATATGGGTAATGCTATCTTTTATGAGAAGCTCCTATGTTTAAGCAAAACCTCAGCTTTTAAGAACACAAGCTAAAAAGTCCCAAGGATTCTCTTAACTTGAAAGCATCTTTTACTTCACGCAAATTTAAAGGAAGGGCAATTTCATAATTGGTTCTTTTCTCCAGGTGGAAGGAAGATATTTTTCTTGCACCCAGAATGGATATGTATTTGGATATAGGGAAAACATGAAAGTGACATGAAGTTAATTATATGATCCCCTAAGTACATAAAACAAATGAGATGAGGGTGAATTTGTTGATTTGGTCTATTTCTAGGTTTCAGGATCGAGCATTTTACTGGCTGATTCCCCTTCAGGGGATAAGCAGAAAGTTTATGTCAATAGTCATTTATACAATGGATGAAGTTGACTGAATTGTGCAAGCAAGAATCAAATAAAAAACCTTTTATTACCTGTACTCTGATTCAATGTGTTTTAGACAAATATGTACACAGCCTATTATGCTTCTTTGTCATTACAGTCATGGAATACTTTCTTCTGGGGTAATGATTATACATATTTTAATACACATGATATACAAATTTATATACAATATATAATTTTATATAAAATGTAAATATGATAAATATCATATATTAAACATGTATATAAAATTATAAATTAGTCAACCCATGCATATATTCAAGACTTTACCAGCAATCATTATATGATACAAGAAGCTTTTTTTCCCCAGAGAAAACTTACTTTTTGAAATTTCAAATGACTCAAACTTGACGGGCTGAATATAGTTCACCAGGTTGGACATTTCTTCTGTGGCCATGGCTTCACTCCCAGCAGTCCCCTGGAAGAAGAATGAAAAATAACATTCCCAGATTCGACAATATATTTTCGAGGTTTATCTTCCCAGGAAATGATCACGTGCCCTGAAAGGGTAGAAGACCATCCCTTCTCCTCAGAAAATATTTATTGTCGATAGAAAAGTCATTACAGCAGGAAGTAGGAGCCGTGGCCCTCCTTACTACAGGGTGGCTTGGGGGCCGCTCCCGGTATGTTGGGGCCAGAGCATCAACAGCCCCCTGAACACTGGTTAGACATGCAGCATCTTAGCCCCCACAGAATTCCTGGATCAGAGCCTGTGATTTTATCTTGTGCTCAAATGCACATTAAAGTTGGAGAAGCTCTGAGCTAAATCTCATCTATCCACAGATGATGTCTGAGGTTACTCAATCAAGAAGTCACTCGAAAATAGGAAAATTATTTGGTAGTGACATTTGGATGAACTGAAAATTGCTAAAAACAATAAGTTTTTCTTTTGGAAATAGAATGGGATGAGGCAACTATTAGCAAAGTATTTCTTTATAAATATTCCTCCCTTTCTGCCTTCTTGGTGACTGTGTGGCTATTGGTCAAGCTCTATCGTGTAGTGCAGGGATCAGTGGATCAGTTTCTAGGTTGCCTGATTTTTTTTTAAGATTTATGTATTTATGATACTGAACTGGGGTACAGGCCAGAGGTGCAGGGGCAGTGAGAGGCTTCACCAGAGACAGAGTGGGGAGCAGAACAGGCAGATCGAGGAAGTATACTGCTGAGGGGAGCAGC